TTGATTCCATGGGCAGTGAAAATATTCGTGGACAAGTTTTTCACAGTCAATAGAAGAGATCGATGCGTTCTGAACAAGTAAAATTTTTTATTCGATGATACGTATACATGTTTAGTTCATAAATTAATAGATCTTTATGCCCCTGTTAATACCCATTTCGAAAGTTTCACAGCCAACTGCTGTGCTGTTTATTGGTCTAACTTCTCGTTTGATTACTGAGAATAAATCGTGCCCTTGGAGTTTGGCTGTCGGTTCATCCTCGTGCGAAAAAAACCAAATCCATCTGTTCTATAAACATCACCTCGAATTTCTACAATAATTCCCCTTCTTGTACATCAACAGCTATTCTCATTTCTTCGATATTCAATCATCAATGAACCGCTTTTATCAGAGCGATCAACTGGACAGTCTCCAGCGGCAATAGCGTAGTCTTCTTTTGTTAACGCAATTAGGTTTGCTTTCGGTGATTCAAAACAGTGTTGATATCTCCACTTGGGAAGAGTCGAGAAAACTTTGAAATTAGTTCCTTACTTTCGACTTTCCCCATTGCTCTATTGCTATAGGATTCATTAGATGAGGTGCACACATTGACTACCATCAAGTCAGGGACGTGTTCACTCCCAGAACTTTTCTTATCGGAGATCAAAATGTTGGTGTTGGCATAATTACTTACCGACTGTCATGCTTTTAGGTCTCGAGCGTAGCCGGGCTGCTGGTCCTGACTACCTCCTATCCACTTTCTTCAAAGATGGAGGTGAAATCCACAGTAGATATTAGTCTAGTTTACCCTCCTTTATCTGCATAAAAGAGATCATCCAAACCAGCTAGGGTGAGTTGATCGTTGTGCCCATCTTCAATAAATGTGCTCGCATTGAGTGCGGCAATCACAGAGGAATCAGCTTAACATCCGTTGTAACTAGACTGCTCGTATCGTTTACTTTACGTCTTACGAAGGCACGTGAAGACGAGACTCAAGGACGACAAGCAGTGTTTCGGCCGGGAAGGGGCTGTGTGGATAACGCTTTCACACTCCCCCAGATATTAGAGCAATAACACGCATGTATGGGCCTTAGAGTTAAGATTAGAATCTCGACTTTAAGACTGGAACCAATTCTGTGGAATGGTTCATGCTTTCCGACACGCCTGCGCAACACGGTTTGCCCCAGAAGTCGCTGAATGTCATGAGCTCTGTGTAGTCAAATACTTGTGAGCACATGATTGTATGGTGGTGTCAGTCAAATGGCCCAGCGACGTTTGTGTGTGGTGGGAAGGGGTTAGGGAGGGACATCGGTGGACACCGAACTGCGCGTGCAAATCATACTTCTCGGTTGTCCAGGTCGAAAAAGGGGGGTTAGTTGAGGAGTCCCATCTTGAGCCTTTGACTCAAAAATGTGACCCACAAAGCAGTGGGAGGACGTAGGGTTTTGTTCGGAGACTCTGCATCTAGCCTCTGACTCAAAAGTATGACCCACGAGGTAGCGGACGGTGGGGTTTTCATTGGGGACCCTTCCCGGAGGTGATGACTCAACAGTCTGAACTGCTCGGTTGCAGGTGGTTGGACTAACCCGAGGGCGCAGGAAATAGGGCACTGCTGTCTCGTTCCTGATGCGGTTGCACATACCAGGTGCTTTATGAGCAACACCGGGCTCTTTGGTTTTAAAAGTATTTTGACCGTATTGGATAATGCGTCGGCGGTCACGGTCAACCGTTGGGCGATCGGAGTGTGTGGCTTTTGGGGTCGACCTTATCTAACCCGTTCTTCTTCGGGGAAAGGCAGTATCGCTGCTTCCATAAATATGGGCATGCTGGTCGCCTGGGGGAAACACCTTACTGCCTTCACACTCCTGTCGCAGAGGACAGTACGACTTCACCCCCAGACCGCCTCATAGCACGATTACTCGTAGTTTGGGGTCTCGCTGCTCCCATTTTGCCTTCCTGGCATGGTTGCACCTTGTGGAAAGACGTTTAAGTCAAAGTAGCCCACTCGATCATCGCAGCACTCAAGCCCGACCACCACATCAAGGTGGCAGCTTTAGGTCAGAGGAATGAAGGTCAAACAAGTCATCATCCACTCGATCAAATACCAGAGACAGAAAGCATGACTTGTCAATCAATTTATCAGCTATAAACCGTGTGCCATATGCACGTTGGTTCCAGCTGCCACAGTTTCGATCACCGGAAAACGAGAAACTGGAATACAATACAAAGCCTTGGAGGCGAAGGCATGCTCAGTTTGTTCGGAAATTTAGTGGCTACGCAATGAAGGCGATAGCTTTGATGCACGAGCGCCGCTGACTGCGCTCGGTGACTGCGCGATTGGGACATTTCCTCCAATGTCAATAACCACTGATGGTTTGAGTCCCGAGTTCCCCCTCCAGGGAGGCGGCAGTTACCCACCCGACTTAGGTTACCGGTTAGTGTTTTCGTACTTCGTTCCAGGTCATACATAGTCCACCTCTCGTTTGCTTCACCCGGGTTTCACAGGGCTGGGTGAAAACAGCTCTGCGAGGCAGACGATCTTCTGGCATGTGGAGTACATGCCCCAACCAGCGCAGCCGATGAAGCGCGAGTAATTCATCTATCGCGGGAGAGTTTCTTCTTAGTAAGAGCATTTAGAATTACTAATGCGATGTTCCCACCAGACCTGACCAATGTTTCGAAAACACCGACGATCAAACATTGGCATTTTCCGTATGTCCTGCGCACGTAGGGGACATGTCTCTGATTCATAAAGCGGCATGGATCACACCGCCGCGGTGTAAACTCTTTCCTTGACAGACAAACTCAAGTCACGTCAGCGTCACAGGTGTTGGAGGTTGGCAAAAGCTACCCTGGCCTTTCTGATTCGAGAAGTCATCTCATCTCCAGCCAGTCCACCGGGACTTATACAGCTGCCCAGTTGAACAAATTTATCTACCACGTCGATTGGCTCACCCGCAACCATGTGTGGGTTTGATCCTACCCAGTCTTGTAGCAGCACTTTACACTTTGCAGGTGTGAAGCACATCCCAAACCGTGCAGCAGAGTTATTTAGGTTAGTAAAAATCGTTTGCATTTGGGAAGGATTTGAACCAAGGAGCAATATCGTCCGCATACTCAACGTCTGTGAGGGAACGTCTCGGGAGCATTTCGAGTCCCGAAGTTTCAGAGGCAGGTAGAGAAATTTCAAGCAGCATATCAATAGCAAAGTTGAAGAGGAAAGGAGAAAGAAAACGGCCTTGTCTTACACCACTAGATGTGGTGAACTAAGGCGAGAGCTTCCTGTATACTCGCACGCGCCCATAGGAGTTCGCATACAGTGTCTTCAAAAGGGAGATAAACTAGGAAGGGACACCTTTGGTCGCCAGAGACTGCCAAAGTTACTGACGATTGACAATATCAAAAGCAGCTTTCGAATCCAAAAAAAAACACCAACGTTGGAAGTCCGGTGGAGTGGCACCGTTCAAGAATTTGTCTCAAGGTAAAGATATGGTCGTTGCATCCTCGACCAGAGCAAAAGTCAGCTTGATTCTTAGGAATCTCTCGCTCCCGATAATCCATCAATCTGCACAATATCAGACAGCACCTTAGATGTGACGGATACCAGGACGATAACACACATTGTCCCAATTTACGAGAAACAATAAACAAACACACATCAAGGATGTAAGGAAATATCTCCGAAACATAAACCAGATAACCGACGGGAGTCAGAGTAGGCCAGTGCCTTTAGCTAGTTGCTCGGATTTTCTCTACACTTTCTAATTGGACGCCAGATTTTATGTATATTGTGATAAACACTCATCTGCTAAATAAGTGCGTACTGACGACTATTGGCCAGTATTGAGCTACTCAGTCGTTTTATCGACCTTGTTGGTGTATTTAGCCATTCATTTCATCGATAAATGCATCGAAAACTGCTTGCATAATGATCCATATGGCGCCCAGGTGTAATCTAAACAACGATGATGCAAACGGTATGGACTGATTCCTGACGTCTGTTTGTTTACCACTCAGACCGGTATGCACGATGGTTGCCGATGGACTACTCTCGTATCATTCTCAGCACCTCGTGTTTCAGCTAAAAACACATCGACACCAACCAACTCTCATTGTTTTTAATTAGCCCAGTCAGATGCAAGAGTGTGATGTTTCTAGTTGATCAGGCGTCTATTGATATGTTCGCCGAACTTGGCGATTGACTTGCAGACGTTCCGTCACCATTCGACAAGACTGATGATGTCTCCTTCAACCACAAGAGAAATTGGAATGCCAATACAGTATTGCAAGACATGACGGAGTGAATTAATGATAGGGAAATCATTTTCTTGAGTAACGTTGGAAAACGTGCTGCACGATTTCGTCGATTGGTGAATCAGTGCATATGCTATGCGCACAGAAGTTTTAGGCGGACAATATGTCCTTAAATCTCCCTTTAGCCGACGACACTGTTGATGTTGCGTTCCCACCGAATAAGAAGCAGAAGCTGGCGCATAAGTTAAGATAAATGCAGATGAGTATTTAAACAAATTAGTAGTTTGGTGGTGGACATTTTGGTGGCAGAGTTGGCGGGGTGAGGAATAAAGTGCTAACTAGTAAACTAAAGACACAAGGAACACCAACAGAAACTCATTGCAGTTTTATGAAGTTGGTGTTCGGCTGAATATAGATCCAGGTAGCTCAATTGCTGCAGTTGGGTAGTGTTTTTGAGTTCCAGGAGTATTGCGAGTGCCTATCGCTACAATTATCGAGTGAGTAGGAAACAGTTCGATTGCCTGGTTGTTTGGGAATTTCCACGTTACGATGAAAACATCGGCAAAAATTTTGAATAGTAGACGCGACCACCCTCTAACGAAGTTCCTGATCGTCACCTAGTGGTTAAACGAAGGCATCAGCAGTTACGTATAACACCCCAGCTAACTGCGTGTAACAAAAGTTTTGAAAGGAACTTCGCGCACTGCGTTTCAGGGACGAACAATCCTATCTCAACAACCATATAGAAGTGAAGATGGTTCTGATAGAAAACCAGTACATCTGGACAATCAATCTCAATAACAGACAATCAGTTATAAAGCAATGTCACCGACCGAACGGGATTACGAATTCGGGCGATACCACAGTGCTTATCAAATACAAACTGTTTGCACAGAGCGCAGTGCAGACTGGCTTTAACATATTAGGTAGACAGCAACAAACGATGTTGGTACAGGTACAGAACACGGTCGAGCACACAATCCTGTGGAGATCTATATGGTACAAGTGAGCGAGGAATGAACTGAACATTGTGATAAGGATGAAATGCGTATCATTGGCGACGTTGGATCAGAGATTGATCAGAATCCAAATTCGCGGGCTCTGGGGCAACGTCTCGAACTGTCTCTGGCTGTACGCGTTCTTCATCTGATTCCAAAGGTTCGTATTCGGTTTCGCTGGAATAGCTCGAAGATGATGACTCTTGGAGGAATCGATCAACAAACTCCGGTTCACTTTGGAGTTTGACTGGCTGAGTGGGCGGTGCGACCTGATCACAACTTTCGGATAGCTGGCGTTGACGGATACGCCGCCACTTTCGCCGAAATCGAGCTTGAGCAAGCTTGATATCGGTTCGCCAGTCAGCATGCCATAGGGTCTTCGCTGCTCTCCAACCGATACGGTAGGCTTTTGACGCCCAATAGATATTCAAACAGTCCAGTATAAGCGGGGGTGGTAAAAAGGCGAAATCCAGCCAAGGTATAGTTTTCCTCACAGCTGAACAGTTTGTAGAAGTGAAAGCACGGTACGCAATAAACCAGAAGGGAATACTCATAAAGTTGCGCGTGATCGCGAACAGTACGGCGAACAGCAGCGTAACTGTGCATACGCGTCGTCTGTCCGGTTTGTATCCAATCGTGCGATAGAACCACCTGAACGACGCGAAAAAGAACCGTGGCAAAAGTAGACACATTACTGATTATCTTGTTTTATAGTGTTGTTAGGTCACAGAGGTGAAAAAAACGACTGTTATCGTGCTATAGTGTAAAGGACACACAGTGACCTTCCGCTCGAACCATCCGGGCTATCATGTCTCCAGATTTTTCGAGCGCATCCGTAGTGCACTAATGGGCTAACTGTTCGCTCGAAAATCAGTTTTCTGCGCACAACAAACAGCTCGACGGGCCAGCCGAGGCACCATGGAAGAATACAGTGCTGGAGAGTAGTGTGGAACTCGAAGCGGTCCAGTTAAAAATGACTTATTTTTTCCGCAAGACAAATTCAGGGGAAATCCCGTTACTTGAATCAACCACCCCGTAGACTGTTTGTGAACTTCACCGGAACCTACGATACAGTCAACAGGGAGGCATTATGGTTCGGCCAAAAGCCCGGCTGTCCAGAAAATGTAAACCTGAAAAACCGGGCACTACCGGAACTACCTCGTAGGCACCGGAGTGAACCATGACTGTGTTCTTACCTCAATCTGTCTATACACGCGGAGGCGATCTGCTGTTGAGAATGTGGTTTGCCAACTGAATACCGGTTGGGTGTTCATTTCTTCGATTCGAAGCATTTGCTAGTGTGAACAATGTTGGTAGCTCAGGTAGCGTAGATGTCCATTGATTTTTTCGCTGAGTTCGACAAGTTGACTGCAAACGAGGTGTACAGCCCCCGACCCATCGCTCTCCGTAACAACGCACTGATGTCACCTCGATGAATGATGCAGCGTTTGCAATCAAATTGCCCAGCTTGGCGAACAAACCAACGACCATCGAAGCGGTTCCTCGATTCAGTTGCATGGTCTCCGCATAATCTCTGCGGAACATGCGGACGCAACTGCCTTAGTATGATTGATCCAAGGGGTCACCAGCGTAATCTCAGGTCCACCTGTTGTATGTAAGCACCCCTAACCGAACTAAGTTTGCTGCACTTCCTTATGACTACCTGCCCAACGTAGTAATCCTATAGATAAAATTATCAACCATATGGTCAATGAAATACCGCAAGGTTATCCATTACCACCATGACAGTATGTTGGTGGGCGGCTCCCGAAAACACTTGGCTAGTTGGGAATATATATATATATATATATATATATATATATCGCAGGCACTAAAAGAAATTGATAGATGATGCTCGTATTTAGATTATAGAGAGGTAAGCGTTGACCGTGTCCATTGTTATGCCATCATGTTTAGGCCGGCAGGTGGCCCGAAACAAGCGCCTGCTCCTTAACTGTCACATCTTATTCACTCGAGTTTTTATCGGTCCAATGGACTTGGGCGCTGCACTACATTCGGGTATGCGTAAACCATCTGTGGTTTCTTACTGTACGTTGGCATCCAGTGGTTTGGCCACTGCAGACCGGTAGATTTTACTCCGATACAAGGCACCCATCGTGACAAAAAAGTAGAGCGTCTAAAATGAAAATGGTCTTTGGTGTACGTATACGACGCCTTTTACCACAGAAGGAAAGGAGGAACTTGCCTCCTCCTGCGATATAGTCCCTTGGAAGGGGTGGAAAAGAAGCACAACAGACTGCGTGAAAGGGAACACAGGTGTGGCCTTCCTTGAAGGAATACCGCAACTGCAATCCCATTCTTCAAAGTACAAGAGCCCCTCGCAAAACCATCATAGTGTCAGTCTGGTAGCCTTAGCAACCTAAGTGTCCTCGGCATCCACCTACATACGGCAGTCAACTACCGCGGGACTAAAATTTGTGCGCCTCCCCATGGATGAGGATGCATTAAAAAATCTTCACCTTAAGTAGGTTCAACAGGTTCGAATACTAACGCGTGCTACTTCTAGATCTGACACTCTGACAAGTATCAATCGATATGTTGTTAGGAAACGACGCTGAATTTCGTTGAAATCGGATGATAACTGAACACACTAGACAGCGAGCCGCCAAACAGAAGGAATGACGCAAATAAGCGAAAGCAACCAACTGTGTTGCGTCGTCAATACTTGACTGTCACGCAGCTTCCAGGATGCACACTGACCAGAAACAAATCAAAATCCATCGGGAAGTCAGAAACAGATCCAGGTGATTCAACTACAATTTACCTTTCCGCGCCTTGTATAGTAATGAAGTACAGAAAAATAGTCTTCTTGGACGGAAATTCAACCTACCTTTGGTTAATGAAAGGCGTTGAAAGCTCCGTAGTGAGACGATATACTCCAAAGAACGTGCATACGCGGTAATGCTAAAAACAAAAAAAGATTACTTTTACCAGAGCGAAGAAAAACTACATTGATATATTAGTTTTAACGAGCCGTATTTCGATGGGTACTGTTTTGCCAGAATCCATCTAGTGACCTGGACAAGGACCACGAATTTAAATGCGGTCGCACTTTTCAGGAGCAACTATGACTCCGTGTGTGAGAACTCGAAATTTGATTACTGGGCTGACCAGCTGCTGATGTATTCAGAACAATCTAACGAACGAGCAGACCATCCATTCAACTAGTCACCTATTCTCAAGAGTTGGTAATCCTCAAGCCCTGATCTTGAAATTTAACCACATATTAATGTGAAGATGTGGTCGGATCCCAAAAATCTCAGGTATAAAGTTCGTGCAGTCCGGTTTAATAGCTGTAAACTATGTGCTGAAAGTACGGTTAGCTTCAGTCACTATCGTTTCGCTAACGAAAGTCGATATAAAAAGGGAAGAAACAATTGATTGGATGCGATATCCAAAGCCAAAAGTTCCCAGCTTTCTCGTTTCGCCTTTTCAGCAAAAGATCCAAGTCCGATCTCGCTCTCAACACGCGACTAGTAATCAATAATAATGAGTTACTCATGCATAATGTGGACGGACACAGAGTTAATACTACAAAAGCTTGAGTCTGCAATTCTGGTGGGGGGGTCTCAATCCTCGCGGTTGAGAATCACCCCTCGGAGAAAATGTTTACAGACCATTATTGTAAGTTCAAGGTAACTCTGAGTACAGATTGTGCTGTGTACATGTGGCCAAACAGGTCCGCTTTGTAAAGGAAGTATACAACTGTGATGAGATGTACAGGTATCAGAAAACAGTTTTCTGATGTATTCACGAACGGACACCCACGTGTGCACTCTTTGATACATCCAACCAACTACCACAGTCCCCCATCGTTAGATTTAACAAACTCCAAACTAGTAGCGTTCGACAGGCTTTGAATCCCGTGCTGATCAGCATAGGTAACCTGACGAACATGTACAGCCTCCAAACTCTTGCTTCAAACCGGAGTACCATTTGTATCATCTGTAGCATCGGCTTAGTGTTGGTTCCACACCTGGTCCACGGTTTTCTATTTCGGACACGCTTTAAGTGACGGCGTATTATCATCCCATCTTCCAACAACATATCGATAAGGACACGGTTGACATCACACATCCATTCACCCATTAATTACCTGAAGGTTGAAGTCTGACGTACACACCCTCGCCGCTTCGCATCGTGCAACGTCGGGCGTGTCTGTATGCGTTTCGCTTCATTGAACACTGCCCTTGTATGAACTTAACCGCCCAATTTGGCCATAGCAGATGTAAAAGTGAAGCCAATCTATTCTTCTCGGCTTTTCAGCACAGATTGGCTTCACCTACAGGACGAAATCTCCACAAAATTCCCATATCTCTTCACACAACCAGCATGTCCAAAAGTGTTCGCATTAGAAATCATATAGGCAAATGGATTGTAAGCTGAATGGCTTGAACTTCCTGCTACGGTTGCAATAGCTATGCATTGATGGTCGAGGTCGTTTAGGTATATCCCACCGACCGAATCAGGAAGACGGAAACTACCAACGGATTCTTATCCGTACATCAAAGCTAGTGAGCCATGGACTCCTGACCTAAGGGGGATTCAGCAATCCATATGGTTGGTAAAAAAAGAATAGAAGTAGATGATCGTCTTATCTAAATAGCGTAATTTATGGATGTCTCATCCCTCTGTTTTGGGTAATTTGTTTCTACTGGGAACCATTTAAGACAGTTTTCAGGCATAAATCCAGTGTTCCCACAAGATCCAGATAACAAGCCAGAGACATCAACGGAAAAGGTCTGAAGACATGACCGATGAAGCAAAGAAAATGAGAAGACACACAAGTATTATACTCTTTAAAGCCAAGTTGTCACACAAGGGACAACCCATGGCATGCATTCGGAAGTGGACACTCCGATACATTGCTTCGAAGTGAAGGCCAAACAAGAAAGAAACGAGTACAGAAGTGCAAAGCAAGCGAAAGCACTTTCCGTAAACTGGGAAACAGCAATCTACAGCAAGCCCTCGAACACGATGGCAAGTAGGTTACTTAATAATCGGAAATATGACCCAATCTACCTCGCAAGTTGCAACTATTCATGGGGTTGAAATATAACAATGAGATGCAAATCCAAGCAAAAAGACGTTCGGCTGCAACACCCTTTCCATACCTAGCTGCCATTCCCACTGAAGGAAGTACGAGGGCTGGGATACTGCCAGGTTGCCCAAGCCTAGACAGGGGAAGTCGAGGAGCAGAGGTCGGTTTCGAACCACGGACCTTCCGATCAGTAAATTCGAGCTCTAAACACTGAGCAATCTCGCCCCCGTCCAAACAAAAGGTCAAGGCTGTTCAGTTGGCAGTTGAGCGGCAGTATGTATAACTGGTATATTGCTGTCAAAGATGATTATGAAAAGGCTACTAGCATGACACTGCAAGCATATCTCTCAAAAGCAGCTACAGCAAAGCAGACAGGTCAGCGAAACGAACATAAGGGGGTGGTTTTGTGGTAGCGGGGAAAGAGCTAAAGTGCCGTAGCTTTTGGCCCGAATTCGTATCCCCAACTGTTGAGTGTAGGCCTCGGAGCTAAGCAGAGAAGTACAGTAAGCCCATAGTGCAAGATTTCATGTTGAGTATACCTTGACAGTATGGTAAATCACCCAATTATCTACCTGGTCCACCTGTATGCTTGTTGATCCCCACTTGTTTTGTTCCGTCAAAGCCTCCGTACTCTGCAATTAACCTTGTCACGGTGGCTAAACCGCCCTCCACTTGTAGGCCAGCATGGGCGTGTGTTCCACTGCACCCACTTACCCATCGGCATTCGTGCTCCGTCTACTGGGCCTGCTCTGAACTATCCCGTTGTGATCGCAAATCACACAAATCACGAGACTGGTGTCGGATCGCGACCCATACCACCTGGTCACCGTTAAGCCCTCTGTGCTGCCTGCCAGTGGCAGACTTGCACAGGTGCTAACGCCACGAGCATGGACAGATGAGGGTTGTTGTGCGCTTTTTCATACTTCGGTGAAAACAGTACGGTAGACTTCCAAACCCAATTATTCCATTCGATATTCGGGACCATGAAGCCCACATGTCACTCGAAGTTCTGTGTTGGAAAACCAACACTCCATTAAAAGGTTCGTAGTGTTTTCTGATTTTGCTCAGATTTTTACTGAATAGTACTGAATGCCACACTTGCATGCTGATCTATTTAGGTCTGCCAATTTTCACGGGAACGATCGCTTGCCATAAGTCCACTGTTCCCCAACTGGTGCACATGCTTAGGGACCGCAACCCGTTTATTTCCGATCTTAAGGTATATCTTGAGTAACTCAACGGTTTTCTCACTTTCCTATGCTTTATTTTATCTTGCTACTCATGTGTTACACTAATTGTGCTGTGAACGATGAAACTTCAGTATCATCAGCACCTCGCTTTGATTCGACTTAATACGAACTGAAAGGGGTATACGAACGGAAATGAATTGGTAAAACTGCGGTAAAGCAATCTTAACAAGAAAGTGACCACAGAAAAAACTGAAACATACCACGACTTGCTGGAAAGCAAACGCGGCGGCGGCATGATGCAATGTGAAAATCAATAGCTCCTTCCCCCGCCAGTACAACGGCATTGAAACCATATCTGAAACAATGCCGAAACGAGATGGACAAATACACCGATTCGATTTGGACTTGGTTGTGTAGACAATACGACTGCTACCTCTGAAATGTAATTCGGGTAGATCAGTGACTTGTTCCTTTTGTGAACGCGGACGGATTAAGGCGTATGATGGTGATAAGTGTAGGTGATGTTTAGGGGAAAAACAGTAAATTCAGTTACCTTGTTTCGCATCTGTTATCTTTAGTAAACTGCGCTCGAAGCGAAGGGAAAAGGATGCTTTCAAGAAAAGAACTTCATCATCCAGGCTGGAAAACATTATTATGCCAATGTGAAAACACCACCATCGAATGTTTCCGCAAGAATTTATCCACTTTAGGTCATAAAGATTGCCAAACGCGATACCGCACCGCATTGCCACTGCCCATGAACAGCAATCAGTGATCTGCTACAATGAGAGTGAACCACTCAGAGGCTGTCTCGACAGTGGTTTCAGGTGTCCGCCGTCGTACGCACCCATGAAATACTCTTGAGAGAGCTGCTCTACTGGAGCAGTCTTATTCACTGCCATCAAGAGGCAGTTTTTCTGCGAAGGTTTTCGTTTCTCTCGATGTATGTATTATGCGCGAAACATGCGCACAAGATCTCATTTAAGTCAAGCAACTCAAACCGCTTAGGACGAGTTCACACCATCCATATTTCACTCCTTGAGTATCCGGCGATCCTGATACAGTAGCTTATGGCATCTATGGCATGGGAGTTGCACTCAGCCCCAGGACTGAACTGCATGGTTTTCCGATTCAATTGAGACAAATGCAGTTCCAATCGGTAAACGGTGTTTATTCGTCACGCTAGCATACGAACCAAAAGATTCCGATTCTGAATCTAAGAAAGATGGGTTTTATCGAGATCTATCACGATTGCTTCGGTCAGCACGACAGATGGATGTAGTCATTCAAGCGGGTGATAGAACGCCCAAGTTGGACTACGTAACCCGGAAAAATTAAATTTTGTTGATAGATTCGGAGTCGCCGTACCGTTGTGCACTGGGCATGGCATGTTCCTACCCAGTACGAACTCCTAAAGTAGGCGCTCACGCCAAACTAACTGGGAGGCACCAATAGCAAGTAAGTCATGGACTCTGGTTCCATGTGGCCACCAGTTCCTTACGGGAAGCTTCATTCATGAAGTTCGGAAGCTGAACAATATGCGGCTGATATGGCTGGAAATCAACTGTAAGTTCTTAGTCACACTGACGGTGAAGAATGGTTTGAGGATGAGTGAGAGTCAAAGGAGCTATGTTCTCAGCTTTCACGCATGTCTGTCAAAGCCATCTTACTTGACCAAACGAACACTGAATTTTGCCGAGATCAGATTTTATTGACGCCAGACAATCCGTATCAGCCGTTAATGGCGGCGATGGTGCATACAGATTGCTCAAACGCCGGATAATTAGCAGTCTGAGGAATGATAGAGAGTGTGGCGAAAGCCCACAAGGAGGGCTCAATTGTAGAAAATAGCCGCGCCCCAGAGGGTGGCGATAAGGTTTGGTTGACGTGCTCCTTAATCAGACAGGGAGCTGTACCACCACAGATTGATTTTGGAAGTTTCCAGTCACAAGCTGTGGAGCCGTCCTACTAACTAATAACATGTCCAGCAGTTTTTGGTATTCGTTAATGCTCCATATACAACTGTGCGTTAATTAGTTGAGTGCACTAAAATCCTGTTTGCTACAAGCTTTTTAAGTTGTGAAGTGCAAGCCCTTACAAAACAACCTGAGTTGTGAATGTTGGTCAAGTGATTCAGCACTCTTTACGGTGTTCACGAAGCGCTATACTGTACATCATTTTGCTCAGTTTTTTCACCGTCATTCAGTTTAAAGGCGTTGTCGAAGTGAAGTTCCGAAATGTCACTCTCGACTTGACCAAAGTCTCTGCACAGCAGCCCTTTTTCCGTGGCTAGCTCCATATGGAGATAATGCAGGAATATATTCTGCAGTGAAGTCAATCTTAAATGGTGCACTCAACTGAGCCTCTGAATCCTGGGTGTTCACACCAAGGGCCATTTTTTAGATAGAAAATTTCTTATTCCCTGGCAGGTGTTACAGTAGAAGCAGATGACAGACTGATGACAACCAGGTGAGATACTTCAGGTAATCAAATGACACGTGCATTTCCACGTGACATTTTCACATTCTTCAATTTCATTTTGGGAAGTCAGTGCTTCAAAGTCCTACTAACTCAACTTACTGAGTATCCGAACGACAATTCTGATGGCGTGTTTAAGTTGCGGTACAAAACTGCATAAATATTGCATATGATGTCCCTCCGGAAGGTTCGTCGAGTTGACCCATTTCAGAGACAATCATCGCTGGCAGCGAGATCAACAAGTGGTACTCAGCTGCCGTAAAATAGTCGATTTAGTTAGATGGCGACAATGAGAGAAAGGCAGCAAATTTCCTTAGACTAATTGATGGGTCACGAATACAATATCAATACCGATGGAATTTCACATCCGGACTTTGACCTTCAATAAGTAATGACTGAGCAAAATGAGACGGATATAACGGAATTGCCAGTTTCAGAAAATCATGAAACAATCGTCACACCGACACGGATAGCCAGCCAGTAAATAATGCAGTACGAAGACTCACACTTAGCTTTAGAATACACAATACTGATCCAAACTTTCCTAGCTGACAACCCTGAATAACATTCATTAAACGATTGACATGAGTCTTGGGGTCAACGACGTATGAAGTGTAGACAGCAGACAACCACTACCTCCGCGAGTGATTCGCCAAGATAACAGAAAGAATGGCTGGATTGAATAGCTGTATGGGACCTAGTGGAAAATACACGTAATAAACGCTTTACTGTCCCCGAGAACACCACGTTGATATAGATGTGAGGATCAGTAGTCAGACTGTTCCAGCAAGTAAACAGCCAATCGACATTCCCCTAATTTCCACAGTGGTCTACACACGTTTCTGTAGAAGATAACAAGAAAACGTTCACCAAACGGTCATTCATGTGACGACATCATTACCACAATATGTCAAATTCCAAGCCCAGGGATCGTTAAGTTACACGTTCTGTGAAAATATCGATGACCACGTAGGTAAAGCTTCTTGACTAAGCAGGCCAACGGCTACTTAAAACCAAGCTTCGCAGTTAGTTGATGAAGAAAGTTGTAAAAAAAAACAGTGGTGTGAAGTCTATAGATTCCGTAAGTCGATGGCAGCAGACCGTAGCCAAATTGTTGTGCAACGTTTTATAGATTTATTGTACATGTCTATAACATAATGGATATTCGGCTGAAACAACTCCTTTCCTGTTTACAAGTAAATGAAAATGGCTCCCCAGTTCTCGATAGAATATAGTTTTCAAAAATTTGACACGCGGCATCACCAACGTGTGAATCGTTGAGCCCATCACCTACCATAGCTTTGTTCGAAGGAGGATAGCGTTATAACGAGGATAAAAATTAACTTCACAGTATCTCAACCTATTTTCATAAAAAAAGCTCCAGTAGTCCAACTCACCACAGAGAAAATAGCCAACCGAAATAGAAAGTGCCGTGAGTCCACTGGTAGACGGGTAGCTGAAATTTTACGGAAATTATGCGACTCAACGTAGATGAATTGTTCCATCCTTTTATTGTGCATCAAAAAGGGGAAAACCAATTGATACAAAATAAACGAACGAACGACTTGCAAGCAAGTCTGTTCTGATTGCAGGAGGTGACCGCGTGTCCCCGAGAACCGATTGGGATGACAGCTTTGGCTCATAGTTAGGTAGCAAAAGAAATTACCAATATGCTCACCGGCATGCTTGCCAATCGGTTCCATCTGTTTAAAGATGCTAGCAAATTCAAACACCATTGGAACTGACCTTATGAGGCGCGAGTTGCGAATCGCTTACAACCTGGGTTTCCTGGTTTACGTTCGTTATGCGAGTAATACTATTATTGTTTATTTTTGAAGAACATGGCCACACACAAAAAGTAAATCCAAGCGATAAATATGGAAGGGTGTACGGGAAAATATTAGACAAAACGAGGGAAGCGTCTCGTTCAAAGGCGCGCCACTAACGGTTCCGGTTAGATAAAATGAATTGCGTATACTCAAATGGGGCGAGATGGCCCAGTGGTTAGAGCGGAAGGTCCGTGATTCGGACCCGACCTCTGCCTCCCGACTTCCTCTGTCTAGGGTTGGGCGACCTGGCAGTAAACCAGCCCTCATGCTTCCTTCGGATGACATAGTGGTTAGGCACCGAAAGGATGTTACAGCTGGACAATCTAATTTTTTTATACTCACCCACCATCTAGCAAAGACGGCGTTGCTTTCTGTTGGCGGAAGGCCCACGGGGGGGGCAGCCTATAAAGCTAAGAGCTATAACCGCTATAAAGCGGTTATTTCTAAACTAAGTGCCACGGGGTCTTCGCATCTTTCTGGATTTCGCGTACGTGATCCAGTCTGCTTGGCTGGAGGACATAACACAAATGATCTCAGTGGCGCGCATGTTATTGTTTCCTAGCCAAGCTGCCTAGTATGTGGCTTCCTCCATCTATCTCCTGCCTCAGTACTGAGTTGTAAAAACCTTCGGAACCTTGGACACTTAGACCGTTATTATAAGGGTAACCGTCGGATTCGCACAATCAGTAGTGTTGGATCTTATACAATTGGTCGATGCCCCTAGCCCTTGAAACACTGATAACAGCTCAGATTGAAGTAACGCGGAAAAAGCCTCGGTAAAGAATCAGAGAAACTCACTTCAAAGGTTCCATCCAAATCTTGCTATCCTTGACCAAAGTTGAAACACACAACCCGCTGACGACAGTGGCGTGAATGGACGAAACTAGCCTGAAATGAATCACGTTAAAAGATGGAAGCAGTAAAGGACAGAAGAGAATACTGACAGAAGTCATTCAGTATCACCTCAATTCAGCACCTATTTCTGGGCCTTCACCCAAGTACAACCTATGAATGTGAATAAAGCAGAAGTGCGAAATGAATGCATTCTATTAAAGAACCTAACATAGATCCGCTGCACATAATCTTTCCTCCGAAAAAATATGTCTGTTCTGCTTATCTGGGACAAAAAAAACAAAGTTATGGCCCCCTTTTGGCACATCACTACGGTGCAACTCGAAGGGAGCATGAAGCCTCCGATACTACCAGTTGCACAAGCCTACAGAGGAGAAGTCAAAGTGCCGAGGTTAGGTTCGAACCATGAGTCTTATGGGCAGAAGTTTCGCCCCTTAAACACCAAGCCATTTCGAGCTCGCTGAGTGAAAACGGATACCAAATCTGTCCAGACCAACACAGATTTCTTTTGCTAACTCTCGAGTTTCGGGTGCATCATCGGCGACGCCATGTGGAATCAATGGTGAGGGTGCTCTGTTGCGTATGAGGATGGAAGATGCTCTGCCTACACAGATTCCAGTGAAATGCTGACCACAGACAGCTGGATTGGCCAGGTCCGTCAGATTTCACAGGAGACACCGGTAACTGAACACCGGGATTTTTCGCACATTCTCCGGGGGTAGAGGTCACGCATATAATCCATAAAACAGGATACAGCACTGCAGCATCGCATACTCTGAACTTCGCAGACAAACCGACGTCACGCCGGGGTTATGGGTACCGAAGTTTGGAAGTGGAAAGTAATCTCGTCACCAGCCAGTCGGCAGTTACTTCTACAGCTGTCCAGGCAAACAATTTCACCCACCATATCGACTGGGTGGTTTACAAGCACAAGTTACGGGTTTGATCCCAGGTAGAAGAAATTCAAGCAGCACATCAGTCACGAAATTGGGAGGGGGGAATGATGAGGGAAGGCAGCCTCATCCAACAATGATGGATACAAGGTTGCTGTTTACGCAACTCCTGGTGCGTACCCAATAGTCTGATATGACTAGCTAACCCGAGTGCGCGAGGTATGACATGCACGTATAAATCGTGGTTACTAATATCGCATATGCGATTGGAGTTGCATCAGACTGTTGTTAGGTCGTAAATGTGTTCTTATAACTGTATTTTTCATTATCCTCATCATCATCATGACATCAGTGTTCAACACTAATGCTCCGCTGCCGTACAGACATTTATTTTGAAAGCCTTGTTGTGAAGAAAAGAAGAAAAGTGGATAGGGAAAGGACTTAGTGCTGCTTTACTGCAATCATTCGAGGTACCTACACCTCCCGACACATATTCAGGCAGTCCGGATAGAAAGAAACAACAAGAACGCCATTGACATCGATTGGGAACGTCTCCAACCAGGCGTAGTGGGGATCAAACGGTCCCCATACCGGAAGGCAAATAGCATCGACAGCACCCAAACGTTTCGTAATCTCTTTCATACCGCTCTGCCAGATCGAGGGCTGGCCACCTCTGTGCTTCCACTACTCTGAATTAGGCACGAAAAACAGCAACCTCTTCGGCAGACAACAATCCAATATACGCAATATACGGCCTGAACAACGCGGCTTTTGGTGCTGAAAAGATTCTTCAATGTTGCACAACCGAAAATTCACTTTCCAATCGCCTCGTTACAGAGTCTCCGACACAAACCTACACGAGCTGTGGTCCTCAGACAACGATTGTCGAACATCTGAAGACCTCTTAGTTTCACCTCTCGAACAGGTCATACAACAAAACATCCCGTACCGTGGCCTGATGCACGCGTCCCTTGAGATTCATGGATATACCGCTTTGACGCCATAGGTATCTAAAATTAGCGAACGAGACACAGGCCATGCAGTTTCTTGTATTGACCTCATCTGTCACACTACTATTGGAACTAATACAACTTTCAAGAGACATAAAATGCTTCACAACTTCGGATGCCCCTATGGATTGTAAGTGACATGTTCAGTGCCTGTATGCCCACGGGCATACCTTTACCCTTTGTGGAATCATGGTGCGTACCAAAGGACTTTGGCCAAAAGGAGCTGCGCTTTGTCCTCTTCTTCGGACAGAAAACGATGTCGTTTGTATAATCCAGATCGACAGGGTTTTCGTCAAAGGCTATTTGAACCTAGGTGGTGACCATGATAACTGTTGTTTGAAGCATTCAGGCCACGGGTCGAGACGTTTTTCCTTATCCAAAATGGTCGTGCCATTCTGACATTGATGGTCTCGCTCACGGGCGGTTCCTGGTTACCGGTCTCACGCATCAAGTGGAATAATCGCCGCAAGCAATCGTCGCTTTTTAAGCCCCTTCCGTTTATTTAGCTTTCTGTCTTCACCAGTCCTCACAGTCAATGCGCACGACCACTTTCATTTGACATCTGATAATTCGTCGGGCCAAGTTATGTTCGGAACCAGAAGGGATGTTTCCATTCCAGAGGGTGGATTGGACCTTACAGCGGCGTGATGGTTTGTCAGTTTCCACAACCCATTTAGCTACACTGGGGAATGGACATTTGATACTCACACAGCTTCTAATACCAGGTTGGTCAATGGGGAGAGATATGACACAGTCTCATCGTCCTCGGGCAGTGAAACGTGTGCGGTAATTTGTTCCTTGAAATGTTAACTGCTTTGGCGGTTTTAAGCTAACAACCACAATCTTGGGGTTAGGCTTTCGGACCAAAGGATTTGGTAAAAATAATAATACTCGTTCAGCTGTAACACCCTTTTGGCGCCTAGCTGCCATGTCATTCAAAGGAAGCACAGAAGCTGGCATACTGCCGGGTTGCCCAAGCGCATACAGGGGAAGTCAAGAGGCAGAGGCCGGTCAGTAAATATGCGCTCTAACCACTGAGCCATCTCGCCAGAACGCTTTCGTTAAGGACCCTAATCGGTCTCGGTGTTCTGGCAGTGTCCAAACCCACACACAACCATGAACTGTACATTTGCACTTACATCTCACACCACACCAGTCGTCGCGTGGTGCGATCAACCGGACCGCTTAACATGTTGGATACAGCAGGATAGGAAGTGAAAATTCATCATCATCATTGTCAGCTGTAAGAACCGCGTACTCGCGTACACTGGTTGTAGCTGCAGCAGTTCCGTTCACCGATGATTTGGGGGGAGGGGGAGACAGATGCGGATTGCACGCGCGAGCTGGCATTAGAGACTGGTAGTGAGTCTTCCATGATCGTATCAATGACGACGTTGAAGAGAAAAGGTGAAAGAGGACAACCCTGTCGGACACCACTTGATGTGATGAACTCAGGAGAAAGCTTCCCGTAGACCTTTACACGGCCGCGGGAGTTGGCGTACAGCGCCTTAATGAGGATCAAGAATTTATGGGGGACACCTCTGCTCCACAGACACTGCCATAGTGCATGGCGGTCCACAGAGTCAAAGGCAGCTTTCAGGTCCAGAAAAACAACCATTTTTGGTTGCTGGAAGCAGTGTCGCTGTTCCAGAATCTGTCGGAGGGTGAAGATATGATCGATGCGACCTCTTGCACGACGGAACCCAGCTTGGTTTTCACGGATCTGCCTCTCCCTGTGTTCAGTCAGCCTTCGAAGGATAAGGCCAGAGAGCACCTTCGATGCCACAGCTAACAGGTTGACGCCACGGTGGTTTTCGCATAGCGCCCATGTACCCTCTTTGAAGATAAGGATAACTGTCGACATGCCCCATTCTGCAGGCACTTCCTCTTCGTCCCACATAGTACCAATAAGCTTTGTCAAGTGGGTCACCAGGGAATTTCCGCCTTCTTTGAAGAGGGCTGGATACAGAACGTCCGGTCCTGGTGCCTTTTCACGTTTCAGTACGGCTATTTCTTACCTTATTTCGTCTTCCGAAGGGCGATCAAGCTTTACATTCCATTCGCCCGTATGCATTATCTCCACCGGCTGTGTTGCAGGAGGCCAGCTGAACTGCTCTCCGAAGTGTTCGGTCCATCTCTCCAGTCGACGTTTTTGCGAGTGAATTAATGGGCCATCTTTTTCACTTATCGTTTCGCTGACCGT